TAAATGAACATCTAGAAAAGTGAGGCAAGGCAGCAGCTTACGCTGAATACGTGGATAGGATTGCATGACAGAAGAAACCTAAGAGAGGTTTTGTGATAAAAGGACAGCAAACGAGAGAAGCGCAACCATACAATGAGATTGTTAAATAGTTCAGAGCATAATAGACTAAGACGCAACGACGCGCAGCTAATCGAATGATACGGGGGTGCTAATGGAAACTAACTAAGGAATCCTGAGTCGGGAGAAGCAAGTGAGAGAGCTAAACTACGGTTAATTAAGTGTCGCAGATTGGTAGGTGACAGCTGTGCATCTACCAAGGAAGCCTGTGCCGGGAAAAGCCGGGGAGAGAGTTGGACTTCTGTATAAGTAGGTGTCATAGACGTAGCGAGTACTAGACGAGTACTAGATGAGTACCTGACAATTGTCGTCCAAGGTCATCCTATTACACGCTTGACGTGCGTGCTACTGGTTCATTTGGATTATTTCCCTCTTTCTTCTCTCCATCTTCTCGCAGCGTTGTCACTGTACGCTCATTCGAACCGCATTTACCAGCTCTACACAGTGATCCATCATCCGTGGAAATATCTTCTACGAGTAGAGGCTGTGCCATCACTAACCGTTTTCACTGGCATCTGTGATTAAGCGCAAGCGTTCAATTCATCGTATTGAGCCGAGTACCTTTCTGTGTGACACCATTCGATACAGAATTCTCGAGACAGGCCGAAAAGCCTAAGCTTTCTCGGATCCAGTGTTTCTCAACACAGCTGTGAAAGAATCTGTGTTCAGCGCTCTGTTCAAATAGCAGTCACTCGCCATTCCTTGTGACCTGGTCGGCCAGTGCGGCTGCATTGCCCATCACACGGACCGCGCGACCACGCAGGCCGCTCATTTGACCTTGCAACCATCACGCTCGCCTGACAGATGTGCGCCGCTCTCAAAGCTGTAAAAGTACAGAACGCTAACCAACCCACTGGGTCAGGTAACGACACGAAATTGAATGGCAGAAAGGCGAAACCGAAGAGACTCCCATCGAAAGGCATTTGCGGGTTAGGAGAATGTCATCGGGTAGTATAAAACGGTCTAGCTTGTTCGCACTATTTGGAATGGTACCATACGAAATGTGCAAATGTGTCCCAACAACAGTTACGGGAGCGAAATAGCTCCCAAGATGCATTTTGGTTCTGTACTGCGTGTTCCACCATCCCCTGGTTATGTGCTTGCTTATCCTAGCTGAGAAATGCGACCGGTTAATCGCAGAAGCAGAGCAGAGTATAAACAATAAGATTGCTTCAATGGAAGCAAATATGGACCACAGAAGCGTAGCGGATGCTAAGCAACGGATTGCTGAACAAATAGCTTCCCCTGCACCGCAATCAGCCATGCCTCCATCTCCGTTGTTTTCTCCAACTTTGGTAGAACGCCGGGCGAAAACAGACTGTACCTACGTGAATCAAGCAGTACTCAAAGCAAAGAAAAGCAGGCATCATTCAAAACGGCCGGTTAAGCAAATTCCACTAGACCTGACATCTAGTATTAACAAGGATGCAGCAGCCAAACACCAACCTTTGGTACCTGTAGCTCAAATATCTCTTGTCGAGACTAAGCCTCCCAGAACATATGCAGTGATTGCTGCAAGGGTCCACCGAGAGGCCGCCGTTGCGTCCTCTTCAATTGTAAACAGCGTTAACGCAAATAGAGAGAAAAGGAGCAAACAATCACTTGTCAACAAATCAAGACAAATGAGTACCATACCTTGTAGATTGATTAAAATGGGATCCAACAACAGTGCCCGGACTGTTGTATGCTCAAATGTCCCTGAATCTATCGCCATCACATTGCCAGATAAGTTATCAGACGACCAAGACTAATAGAACTCATTGTGTATGCAGATGAGTATCAAAGCCAAGCCCATAATTTTGTTACGAATTACTCGTCATCCGAACTCGCCACACTAGAGACCGAGGAACTAGCCTGCTTGTATACGAATGCTCAGGTACTTTCTAACAAACTGGCTGAACTGAAAGATCGCCAAGCTTCCGGCTCGTATTATGTCATTGGTATCACCGAGACATGGTTGCAAACGGGAATGACGGACGCTGAAGTGTCGCTACCCGGCATGTCGCTGATCCGGAACGATAGGCTCACAAAAGCAGGAGGGGTAATCCTGTACTACCGAAACGACTTACAGTGCGAAGCCGTGGAGGATTCAGATTCGCAGTTCCCCGACTCTCTTTAGTGCTGGCTGCAGTTAAAATGCACTGACGCTTGCCTTATTATCTTGGTGTACCGCGCCCCTAACTCAACACCCGAAACCGACTACCACCTAATGGCTGCTTTAAGGTGCAGTTTACAACAAAAGTACACTCACATTCTTATCATGGGTGATTTCAACGTACATTGTTTAGAAGCCCCTGCCACGACCGGTGAACAATTCAAAACCGATTTACAAGATCTAGTAACTACTGTTCCTCTTTACAACCACATCACTTTGCCCACTCGGTTCAGCACTGGTAACAGGCCACCTGTGCTGGATCTTGTGCCTACCAACAAGGAGCAAATGATTGATGCGTTGGTTTTAGACTGCCGGTTGGGTCGCAGTGATCACGCAGTCATCAGTTTCAATTTCGACTGCTATGCAAAATATCGGAATGATAACGGTGATAATGTGCGAAACATCACGAGGTACGACGGACTCGCCCAGCTAGTCAGCGCCACAACATGGTCTTTCCTCGAAGAAGAACCCCCGGAAGTCGCCTGCCTCGAGTTCGTCAACACATTCAGTCAGCTGATTGCACAGGCTTCAGAGATAAAAGCTTGCAATAAGTGCAAATCCGTTTCTTTCGTTAGGAGCAAAACCCGAAAATGGATGACAGTACGCAAAGCAGCATGGCAAGTGTACAGAGGAGCTCCAGCACCAGAAACTTGGGACAACTACGTAGCCCATCGGAACCACTGCACTCAACTGTTAAGAGAATACAAAGCCGTTTATCAGCAGAATAGCGCAAAAACCTTCAGTGCTAACCACAAGCTGCTGTACAAGTACGTTAATAGCCTACGAAAGGTGAGGCAAGGATTTTCTCCACTCAAGACGGCCGATGGCCCAACAAGAACGTTTATGGAAGCTGCAAACGCGCTGCAGATGCAGTACGCCCCAACGTTTCAAAGGGTCTTGCCACCAAGCGATTTACCAACCTTTGTATTCTGCTCACCAGGACTAACCCACATCAATTTTACCGCAGAGGCTGTATTGCAAAAGCTGACTTCTCTACGCAAACACAGCTCGCCGGGTGTCGACGCCATTCGTCCTGAGGCATTGGGAGCAGCAGCAAACCAACTGGCAGGACATTTAGCTCAGTTTTTTCAGCACTGCTTAGACCAGAACCAAGTTCCCGCCATGTGGAAGCTTGGAATAATAAGCCCGATTCACAAAGGTGGAAGCAGAACTGATCCTTCCAACTACTGCCCAGTAACCCTTCTTCCTATACTCTCCAACATCATGAAATCCATAGCTGCCGATGCACTGGTGTGCTATCTGGAAAACTGCAACCTCGTCACTCCTGAACAGCACGGTTTCCGTCGACAGCGGTCATGTACAACTAATTTACTAATTGCACGCAGTAGTTGGACCGAGGCAGCGGACGCTGGAGAAGGTGTTGATGTGATCTACCTGGATTTTTCCATGGCTTTTGTTGGTCTAGACCATCGGATACTACTATCCAAGCTGCAGCATTACGGGATCGGAGACCCTCTTTTAAGCTGGATCGCCAACTTGCTATTTTAAAGGCACTTAGTGGTCAGATTTCGGAGCTCTTTATGGGACCCCACACAAGTCGAGTGTGGTGTGCCGCAAGGCTCGGTTCTAGGTCCACGTTTGTTTATGGTGTTTATTAATGACCTTGCACAGGGATTCGCTTCAAACTTCCTGATGTTTGCCGACGATATCAAGAGCTGGCGCAGGATCCAGGCGAACGCCGACCAACATGTGCCCCAAAGTGACTTAGATACAGTGTATCAATGGTCGATCCAAAACTTATTGCATTTCAACGTCAGTAAATGCAAGGTGCTTTCCATACGACATCAAAGCAGCTACTCATACCGACTCGGAACGGATGTACTGCAACAATCAACTCTCGAACGTGACTTGGGTGTCCTGGTTCAAGAGGACTTGGGTTGCTCCAGGCAATCCGAAAAGGCCTCAAAGACCGGGAACCAACACGTTGGGCTGTTGAGGCGGGCGATTGGACAAATAAACAGCTCCATATTTCGACAAATTCTCAGTGCGTATGTTCGCCCCCATGTCGAGTATGCAATTCAAGCCTGGCATCCATGGCTGGAACACGACCTTAATGCACTGGAGCAGCCACAACGCCGGGCATCTAAGGACGTAATTGGAATGCGAAATCGGTCCTACAAGATG